GGGAATGGAACAAGTTTCATCACGAACCTCCGTTCGTAAAAACAACAAGACAATTAAGTCAGGATGGTTATCTAGATAATTGTGCCTAGCAGTGGTATGACATCGTGAGGTATTTTACCCCCAGACTCACCCTATCCGGCAATACTAATGGGTTTTGAGAAAAACAAACATTCATATGTGTGCATGCAACCCTAAATTGATTGGATCTAAGTTTTCTCTAGTTAAACATGAAAACAATGAACACAAAGAAGAAACCCTGGGTTCTATGTATAATAATCAAAAATCACATCATAGGGATCAAAATAAATACCTTTAAGATTGTCATTGTAAACAATCTTGATTCCTTACTTGAAAGACCTTTGGTAACAAGCACCACAAGTGTCGTGCCTCTAATGGCTCACAAATAAACTCAAGCAACCAAGGAATACTTTAGATAGAGAGAAGGGAAGAAGAATGGCGGCTCTAAGCCTTCTTGAGGAGTGCATGGACGAAATCCAACCCTAAGGAGGGTTTATATATGTGTTAGGAAAGTATTGGATAAGGCAGGTGTATCTAAGATAACCATAATCCCTTAACTTCCTCCCTAAGGCATCCAAGGCACCCTTAGAGCCCAAGGAAACCCTAGGAGCATCTAGATTTCGTTCACCCCCTTTTAGGGAGGTTCTAGAATTTCCCAATGCTCAACTATTGAAAATTGTCACCTTTAGTCCCTGCAGTTTCAATTAATTCCTTTAATCCCAAAATTAATTCCAAATTAATTTCTGATTAAATATTAATTAAAAAATATGATTTCTAATTAATATATTATATCCATAATACATTAATAAATCATTTATCTTGATTTCTAATTAATTTATTAACCAAGTAATAAATTAATAAATCATTATTCTCACTCTGAAAGTTATCCTATTCAATTGCCAGGTTTGAAGGCAACTCAAAAGGACTATACTACTATCAATTCAAGTATATACCAATTATAGTTATGGACTTAGACACCTAATCCAACAAATACAACATCATACATACCTGGTAGTGGTCTATTACTGATACACTCTAATGGGCAGTCTACGAAGTTCCCTTAATTACTTCGTGAAAGGAAACGCTGACACGCAAAGCTCCTTAAAAGAAAAGTATGGGGAGATACTAATAAAGTACTCCCGTACGCTCCCGTACCCCGACACATAATAGTGTAAAAAAAGGACTTTGTACATGATAGTACTTCTGGTATATTATAGTACCCTGGTATGAGTATGACTCGTACCCTAGAACATAATAATACCCCGACATAAGCAGCACCTAAGACACAGAGCTTTGAAAAAGAATTGGTACATAGAAAGTACTTATGTACGTAGGACATACTTCATCAATCATCAGTCTCCTCGAACAGAGTTTCTACTCTCCATTCTGATCACTAAGCATCTCTTTTAAGTCTTATTTCATCACTAAGCAAGCATACAATGCTTATAATCAACTTTCAATACTAACTCTGTTTCGGCAACACTATCCTAATTTAGTGTAATATTTTATACAAAGTATTAAGTAATAACATACATTTATCATCTCATTTATAATACTTCTATTATTATTATCATGTAAATACATCTCAACACACATAGAACCATGCATGGTTCACATATCGTATATCATCAAATATACATATAACACATATTTCTAGATAATAAGCATATAACTCACATATAAACTTTCAACATATATTTAATACTTTTATTAATACTTGTATTAAAATCATGTTCATAAAAGGGACTATGCACTCACACATAAACTCTTTAACTTCCTTAAATGAAGTCAGATTTAGACGTTCTCTATATGCACGCTCTCGGTTTAACATATACCACGACTTTCATTTAGATCGCTAAGGCTAAAAAGTATTTTGTCAAAAATTTACTTTTTACGATACGCGGAGCCGTGCCGGTTTTGTCGCAAAATTTCGACGAGTCATAACTTCTTCGTTATAAGTCGGATTTCAGCGTTCTTTATATGTACGGAATCCTTGTGACATATACTATACTTTGGTTAAGATTATTTATATCAAAAAGTCATTATTAACGCTTATTATCTCTAAATTGATTAGCCCGAATCTGCGGGCGTTACAGCTGAGGCGATCATGCTTTATGTTGAAGGCCAAGATACACGGGTGGTCCAATTGGTACTGTAGTCCCAAGGGAGCGGTCCAACTTATGATGTAGGCTCGGGAGCGGTCCAACTTGTAGCTGAAGGCTCGGTGGCGGTCCAACCTTGTGTTATAGGCCTGATTGTGTGCATTGTTTATATGCTAATGTGTAAGGTATTTTGGGGGAAACTCACTAAGCTTTGGCTTACAGTTTGATTTTATGGTTTCAGGTACATCTGAGGATAGGGGCAAGGCGAAGACGTGATTGTGCACATCATCCTGGATATTTATTTGACTTGTGATTTTGGGATACTCTGATTTACATTATGGCTTTTGGGAAACTATGTTTTGTATAATTTATGAATTTTTGTATGGTTTTAAAAATGAAAATTTTTGTCATGATTTTTGGAATGTTACAAACAACAGGATGATGATGATGATGATGATGATGATGATGATGATGATGATGATTTTATAGAATTGTCCATATATGCTCCACCTCAGTGTCATGTGGACATTTTATGTTGACAAACATGACAAAAAATTGTCATGTTAATAATATTACTGGATACCCCTTTGAATTTTACAAAATGATATTTTTGTTACTTTTTTTTCATAGTTCATACAGTTAAACTACTAAAAGAAAGCATGAGTGACCTTTTTCACAATTACATAACTATTTATAAAGTCTTATTTGTCAACTAGATTTTTCACTACGAATCCATAAAAAAATTAAATAAATAAATAAAAATTTTAAATGTTTTTACTCCGATGCATATATATTTATATAAAGCCTTTTTGCCACTTAAAGAATAACTTAAAAATCTTTTTCTTAAAAAGTTTTTTGAGTGAAAGTTATATTTCAGTTATTCAAATAATAAACTGTTTTTCCAAATGCTTGTATTTGAGATGTTGTTAGTTTTTTTCCCGTAAAAAATTTCCTAACTCGGTTTATTTATTTATTTTTTTGAAAACGACAAACAATTCAGTGGAAACATATTCACAATTTTACAGCAAGCACCTCGGGTTTGATCTCCTTGGGCAAACCCAATCTCTTTAGAGATTTTTCCTAACTCAGTTATTTATTTTTTTATTTTTTAAAATAACAAATGATTCAGTGGAAGCATATTCATAATTTTAGAACGAGCACCTCTGGTTCAAGCTCCTTGGACCCTCATAGGGATTTCCACGGAAAATTTCCTCACATGTGGTACTTACAGAGGTAGGGGTATTACACGATTTGAACTTCTGACTTACCACCCCATCATATCATACTATACTTATAAATGAGACATTTTTCCATGAACCACATGCATTTGAAACCCCCACAAAAATTTATAAACACCTCATGCATTTGAAACCTCCTATTTTAATTAATACCACTAAAAAGTCTCTTAATAATGATTAACAATTCAAAAGTTTTATAACTTATATAATATATTTAATAAACAATTAATGGATAGTCTACTATAAAAAGGTCAATCTCTTTGAGTAGACACACAAATACAAATCACATACAAAATTCACAAAGAAAACAAGTTTAAATTTTTTTGTGTTGGTTTGAGGGCTTTGGACCATTTTTCGAGCCATGTTATTATGTTGAAGTTTTTAATTTGTAACTTTGTTATATACTATTTTTTTTATATGTTTTCTTGGTTTAAGTATTCTTTTAAGAATATCATTGTATGTTGTGGTTGAAATTTTAATGTTAATTAAATTAGATTCATGTTATCGATCATATGTTATGGAAGGTGATATATATAATATTTAATTAACTATTATATACATGTTTGTACGTTTGTGTTGCTTCAAAGCAATAATTAATTAAAAATCATGAATATGTTATATTATCCATATTATCCATGTAAGTCTCTTTTAAAATGCAAATTGTCTATCTTATCACTTTATCTTTTAGTATATGTTTAACATTTTAAGTATAATAATAAGTGTTTTTTATAAGTTTTCTTTCACTTATTAATAATAATAAGTGGTCTTAAAATTTACGAACAATAATTATAAATAATAAAATCAAATTATAAAAATCATGGATATGTCATATTATCCATGCAAGTCTCTCTTCAAATGCAAATTGTCAATCTTATCACTTTATTATTTAGTAAATGTTTAATATTTGAATAATTATATTAATTGTTTCTTAAAAGTCTTCTTTAACTTATTAATAATAATAAGTGGTTTAAAATTAATGAACAATAATTTTAAATGATAACAACATCAAATTATAAATTACATAACGTTAGCTACAAATAAATTGTATTTAAATGAACATCATTAATAAAACTACAAAATAATTGCATGAGTAAAAATTAAAATTAATCGATCATAACAATTGTTAAAAATAATACTAAATAGATAATTATATTTAATTCTATTAATGAGGAATGTGGGTTGATATC